CTTGAGGAAAACATGATGAGTGAGTCCCCAGGCCCTGAGTGGGTCAGCAGTGACCAAATCTGTCCACAGGGATCCACGGGGAAGCTGGCGTGCGCCGGATAAAGGTAAGTGGACTCCCTGGCCCCGGGTAGTCTAGGACCAAGGCCGTCCAGCACAGCTCATGCTGGCTCTCGCTCTGACAGATGGCAAGCGCCAATGAGATTGTGACGCTCATGTTGGACCACATGACGGCCTCCTCCAGCGTGTCCCGGGTGCCTGTGCAGTCCGGTGAGGGGCTGTCACGCTGTCTCCCAGCCTTCTGTCCTACGCTGGGCAGGGGCCTGGAGAGTCTCACGCTGGTGTTGTGTCTGTCCACAGGCTCCTCAGTGGTGCTGATGGTCAACAACCTTGGTGGCTTGTCATTCCTGGAACTGGGCATCATAGCCGACGCTGCTGTCCGCACTCTAGGTGAGCCCCGCACCAGAAGGGGGCCTCCCCAAGCCCTGGGGCTCCTTTCCCTGCAGCTCTCTGAAGCTGGACAGAAGAAAAGCAGCCACGATGGAGTCTTGAGATGGCCCTGAGCGGGGGCTGTGGGGGCAGACAAGCCCAAGTCAAACCATCACTGAACCAGCTGATTGCTGGGTGCCTTGAGCCTCTCTTCTTGTCTGTGAAGAAGGGGCAACAGTAGTTCCTGCCTTTTAGGGTTGTCATGAGGATTACATGAGATTAAACATACGTGTCACACTTAGCACAGGGCCTGGCACCCAGTGAGAACTCAGAAAAGGAGACTTGTAATTACCCATCTTCCCTGTAGAGGGGGCACCTCCAGGGAATGTGGTAATTCGGGGCATCCTTGAGGGATGGTGGGAGGGAATCTGGCCATCTCCCTACTAACCTCAGGGTCCTAGCTTCCAAAGTCCTTGTTTTCCTCTTCCTGTTTCTTTCTCTGATGCTCTGAGGATAAGTGCCCATCCTCCGCTCCTTACCTCATGGACTTCCATGCTCTGGTATTGCAGAGGACCGCGGGGTGAAGATTGCCCGTGCCTTGGTGGGCACCTTCATGACAGCCCTGGAGATGCCCGGCATCTCTCTCACTCTTCTGCTGGTGGATGAGCCTCTCCTGAAACTGATCGGTGAGACCTGGAAGCTGCGGTCATCCAAGCCAGGCCTCCTTGTGGCCAGAAGGAGCCACAGGGCACTTGGAGACAACACCCCATCAGGGCTGACCATCACCTCTGTAGAGACACCCTCTGTAGAGACACTCTAGCCTTCAGCTCTCACTTGAGGAGTTGGTATTAGGATCCTCCCCAGGGACCCTCCATGCTTCCCTTGTATACAGTAGGCATTCGGTACTTGCTTGTTGATATGGTGGGAGCCAGGTGGGGAGTCCAGGTCCCACTTGATCCCTGACTGGCTGACCCATGTCTACGAGTCATCCTGCTGTCCCTAGATGCTGAAACCACCGCGTCAGCCTGGCCTAACGTGGCCAAGGTCTCTGTGACTGGGCGGAAGCGGAGCCGGGCCGCCCCTGCTGAGCCTCTGGAGGCCCCCGTTTCCACTGTTGCAGGAGGTACCAAGCCCTGCTGTTGGCAAAGGTGGCCCGGGGCTTTGCCCTGTTCTCTGAAGGGTGCAGGGTAGGCGGGGGCTCTTGTACCCACACCTTCCACACTGGTCAGGGTGGGTTGTGGGAAGGCTGGGTGGGCCTCTGCACCGCTGTCCTCCATCTCCAGGTTTGACCTCGGAGCGGGTGGTCCTCGTGCTGGAGCAGGTGTGCACCACCCTTCTGGGCCTGGAGGAGCATCTGAATGCCCTGGACCGTGCTGCCGGTGACGGGGACTGTGGCACCACCCACAGCCGCGCTGCCAGAGGTGGGTGCAGGGTCCCTCTGGGGTCCAGAGAGGGCTGGTGTAGAACATGGGTTCTGAGATTTTGGCATTTCGTGAACCGGAACAACTTCAAAAGCATGGCGAGTGTTCGCGTGGAATGGCCAACATTTATTTTGCCAAGAGAGATCATTCACAGAACCTGGCACCCCTTTCTCCTTTTTCCTAAGAAAAGGCTCTCCTAACACTACAAATGTAGAAGGGTTGTTATTACAAAATAAAATGTAATCTTTTTAATGTTTTTTTATTTTGAGAGAGAGTGAGGGGGAAGGGGCAGAGGGGGAGAGAAACCCAGACTCCACACCAAGTGTGGAGCCCGGCACAGAGCCCCATCCCACGACCCTCAGATCATGCCCTGATCTGAAACCAAGTCGGACGCTCAACCAACTGCACCACCCAGGCGCCCCAAATGTAATTTTTTTAAAAAAAAAAATACGTATTTACGTAGGTGTGTATGTATGTACCCCAAAATCAAGAGTCACATGTTCTGAGCCAGCCAGGTGACTCAAAAAGTAATGTTTTACAGTGAATAATAACTTTAGGTTCAAGGGAAACTCCTACAATTGTCCTTGTTTTTCTCAGCTTAACGGAGACTGATGAAAAGCTCTTAATTATCCAGCATAGTTCTGTCAAGAATCAGGGCTACCCCGGGCCTGGCACTGATCTTGCTGCTCTGAATACAACAGTGAGCAAAGCAGATCAGACTCCCTGCCCTCACGGCTCGTGGCTTATGTTCGGGTGGGGGAGGCACACCGTCAACAGGGACTATCAGGAAGAGATAGAGGGTGACGGTGCGCGGGGCTGAGGAGGAGAAATGAAGCCGGGAAGCGAGGCATGGAAGGTCAGGTTGAGGGTGTCTGGGGCACGCCCCAGCTTCTGGGTGATGGCCAAGGTTCCTGCCAGTCCCTGTTTCCCACCTCTCCCCAGACCACACCCGGGATGTAGAAGGGGAGCTTTGGCAATCTCCTAGGTTGGTTCCCTCGGCCTCTGCCAGGGGCCATGCCTTCCACTTGGCGGTGAGGTTGGGGCGTGAGCGGATGGGAGGGAGGGTCTCTGAGTTCATCATTTTTCTCTGCCTGCAGCCATCCAGGGGTGGCTGAAGGAGGGCCCACCCCCTGCCAGCCCTGCCCAGCTACTCTCTAAACTGTCCCTCTTGCTTCTGGAGAAAATGGGAGGCTCATCTGGGGCGGTGAGTGCCAGCAGCCCCTGGGACCAAAGGGCTGACCCAGAGGGGTCCCGGACTGGCCGAGGCCCTGGCCAGCCCCATGTGCTCAGCGTTCTGGTCCTCCCCAGCTTTACGGCCTGTTCCTGACTGCAGCGGCCCAGCCACTCAAGGCCAAGACCGACCTACCAGCCTGGTGTGCTGCCATGGATGCCGGCCTGGAGGCCATGCAGAAGTGAGCCCTGCAGAGCCCCATGCCTTAGACCAAGGGGGGTACTGGGCGCAGTGGATGGTGTCACCTGCTCCCAGCCAGGCCCTGTCCCCACCCCCACAGTGAGTCCCTGCAGGGAGTCTTACTCATCCTATTTCCCTGCCAGGTACGGGAAGGCTGCTCCAGGGGACAGGACCATGGTGTGTATTCAGCCCAGCCCTTCCCTCTTTGCAGTATAGAAGCCTTGAGGGCCACCCTCAGTGGCAGCGCCTGTCCTTACTCCCCTTTCCCTCACCTTGTCCAGCTGGATTCCCTGTGGGCAGCAGGACAGGAGCTCCAAGCCTGGAAGAGCCCAGGGGCCAATCTGTTGCAAGTTTTGACCAAAGCAGTCCAGGTGAGTGAGCAAGTTGATACCTTTCCTGTACCTGTTTCCTCCTCCAAACACGGAGAGCATTACCCGTCTCAGAGGGTTGCTGTGAGGCTTGAGGTACGTGGCGCCCCAGGGCGTTGAGGACATAGCAAGCCCTCAGTAGATGGTAGCCTCTTGCCCTGCTAGAGGTAGGCGAGAGGTGATCTCTCCACCCTGGTGACAGTACTTAGGGTGCTGGTAGGGCTGGGACAGGAGGGTGTAGGGCCCATGGGAGGAAGGAGGCCTACTGGCTTGTCCTTGAACCTGCCCTCACGCTCCCACCACTCAGAGCGCAGAAGCTGCAGCCGAGGCCACCAAGAACATGGAAGCTGGAGCTGGAAGAGCCAGTTACATCAGCTCTGCGCGGCTGGACCAGCCAGACCCTGGGGCAGTGGCAGCCGCAGCCGTCCTCCGCGCCATCCTGGAGGCCTTGCAGGGCCAGGGCGTGTGAGGGCCTCCTGGGCCTCGGTGCCTCTCTCACTGCTGTGCAGAGGTGACCACTGTCGCTTCCTCCTGTCTTCCAACTGTTATCCTCCCTCACCGCTGGCCCCCAGGGCCTTGTCCTGAGTTCAGCAGGGAACCTCTACCAGCCTCCAGAATTCCTACAGGAACGGCAGGCCGAGTGGGTCGTGTACCACTTTGGCCCTGCCTTTCCCCTCTTCACGGAGGTGGAATTTGGGGGTCACCCCCTCTGCCCCCAGCCACCTCCGGGCCTCCACGATAGGCATTTTCCTTGGGTGGCAATATGGCCTTGAACTGGCCATGCTGATTCAGTTTTAAGGCTCTTTGTGGAAGGCCTTCTGGCATTGAGTGAGTGTAGAAAAGCAAGCGAATAAAAAACCACATAGAAGCAAGAGCTCCTGCTTCTGCTGAGGGACCTTTTTCCAGGTGTGTGAACCAGTGGGCCCACTAATGCCCCAGGCACAAGGCCTCAGCCCCGGGTTGAAAATGATCATGACCCATCCCCTACCACCTGAGACCCAAGGGCAGGGTCTGCGCCGCTGGGCTGTTTCCCCATTCCTGTTTTCCAGTACACACACCACACCCGATAGGTGTGTTTTTCTCCACACTAAACTTAAACAGAATTCACATATTCTTCGGGAATCAAATGGGACACTGGAAGAAATCACCACATTCTAAAGCTCGGTGGTTGAACAGAAACTGCACCCAAGCCAAACCCCAGGTCTCTCGAGAGCAACACTGACGGTGAGTGGGCAAGCAGGAAGGGGCTGTGGAGTCCGGTGCACGACACACGCCTGGCCCATCCTTGGTGCAGGGGCGCGGTAAAAGGCACCGGCATGGACTCAGACCACACTAAATCCTCATTCTGCTTCCAACCAGCTACGTAAACTCAGGTCTACTATTTAGCCTTTTGGGACCTGTAAAACCAGAACTGTACCCGTCTCATGGGGACATGGATGAGCGCTGAAATAAACTGATGAAGGTAAAGCCCCCGGTACAGGCCAGGTGCTTATTCACTGAGAGTCACTATCATCACCGTCCCCAACTCCTTCTGGGTCGTCTGCTCCACCGCCAGGAGGTGTCCACAGCTGGTCACCTTGGGAAGGGGGCTCTCCATCACAAGTTTGCCCAAACTTGGCTGCAGGCCCCCTCCATCCCTGGGCCTCTCTATCCAGGGTCCCCTGTCCCCCGTGGGTGTGCACCATGGGTCCCGGATCGCTAGGTATGGCTATCAGTGTGCACAGGATGCACATACCCAGAAGCTGGGAAGGAGACTGACATAAACATCTGGCCTGTGGATCCCGACTCTACCACTTCCTGGCTGAGGGACCTCAGTCACCAGTGACCAAGTCCCTTATCCTTTTTGAGTTCTGGATTATAAAACAGGAAACATCTCCTTCCTTGTGAGATAACCCAGTACTCAAAAGCTCTTCCTTTTTAAGGACGTCCACACAGACCACGAGTCACATACGATTCCAGGAGGACAATCATGGGATCTTTGGTGCCTTTTGGATTTCTGCTCCCAGGGCTGAGGGTCAGAACTGTCCAGAGGCTTTAATAAGTTTCTCAGAGCTCATTTAACCACAATGTCAGTACAGTAGAGAAGGCTTTGATTCTTAAACACATGATAATCGGAAATCAAGCTTCAGGTTACAGGCCTCCCACGTGGAAAGGGGGGGCGCTGGTCACGCTGACTGAGGTGTCTGGCAGTCATCCCGGTGGCTTCAAACGCTCCATCCCCTCAGGAAGTCCCGTCACAGGCCCGCCAGCGGGCCACGTCACGGTGTGGTGGACAGTCAGCCTCGTCTCCACCTGCCACAGTCAGTGCAGCCAAGGCCCGGTGGCCTGCTGCTTGTCACTAAGGACAGCAGTACGGAGCCGGGGGCCTGGCAGGGCGGGAAAAGCCACAGCGCCATCTCGGAAGAGAGGAGCAAGAACCCCGGCACCCCAACCCCAGCTTCTCCTCGGGAGGCGAGCAGCTGCTCACCCTCTTGTGTAACGGGAGACTGGATTGGGCCACGCAAGTCGCCCGAGGGGGAAATGACGCAGCCTGCCACTCAGCAGGGAGCACCTCGGGAGGTGGTCGTGGCCCCAGGGATCTGCCGGGCACCATGCACCACAACTCTGGCTTGTTTCACGCTGAGCTGGAGAGTGAAAATCAGCTGGGCGGGGGTTCTGCCGGCCTGCCCGGGGACAGACAGAGAAGCCCTGATCCGGGGAGCGGCAGCTTAGGAAGCCTGAGGCCCCCCTGGCGCTCAGCCCTCCCGGGACAGTTGGGGGAGCAGGCTGCCAGGGTTCGTCGGGTTGCCTGACTGTGACGGGGGTGCATGTCACGGGGCGAGGCCAGGACATAGGCCAGGGCTGTAGCAGCAGAGGGGAGCCGCACGGTCCCAATGCAGGCGGACGTGAAACAGAGTGGCAAGGGGCAGTTAGCCCCTCCGCCGCTCTGCTGCCGTTCTCCCCGCTCTCCTTCCGTCACCTCAAGATGTGCGTGCCCAGGCTCACGTGTGGCTGGGCTGGCTGGAGGTAACGGCAGATGATGCCCACCCCACGGTGGGGGCGGCCCAAAGGAAATGCAGGCCTTTAAGGGAAAGCTGCTGGACGCCGCCGCCTCCCTCACTTCTCACATGCGGACTGCACTTGAGTCCGGGCTCATCCGCGCCGTCGAGATTTTCTACCACATCCTTAGGGCTCTAGAGGGGAAGTCAGCTTGACTTCACACGCAGAGCGGGGGCAGCAGGAGCAGCTGTGGTGGGGCCAGGGGGGGCATATGTAAATGAAGACCGAGAAGTTGAGGCCAGGAAGGAGCACGGAAGCCGAAGCCACCAAGCAAAGCGGGCGGGCAGCACTGGCGGAGGGAGCAGGCCCCGCATGGAGGCCAGAAGACGTCTGGGCAAGGAGCCCGGGGCAAGTGTTGCTGAAACCAGACAGGAGCCCCAGGCAGAGCAGAGCTGCTGAGGGGAAGCACCTCCACCTGCTCCTGGCTCACTCCCCATCACGCAACAGGGGCTGGAAAGACAGGCAGAGGCACGGCGGTTAACAGCCTCACATCAGAATAGCCCCTAACGTGCAGGGGCCCCCCGGGCCTGAGCTGTTCAGATAGACCCCCAACCTGCAGAGCGGTCCCCGCCCAAGCCACCACGGCTTTCAGGGATGCCCCAGAGCCCCTCGGCCTGATAGACACCCCATCTCACCGCATCCTTCAGGCACCTGAGTGGCCAAGAACAGGCAAAACCCACTCTAAGCACTCACCCCTTCGGTAAGCGCCCATTAGGTAAGCTCCCGCCCCACAAGACTAGCCCCAAGGCTGGAAGAGTAGAAATTACAACACCCTTTCAGCATGCCCAAGCCCATCCTTGGGGGAGAGAAGGCCACACTTTCCCCTCGTGAAACCACAGGAAGTTGGGGAGGGGCATAAAGACCAGTCCTCTCCCAAGAGACAGGCCCCCAGAGCCCCTGAGCCTGAGCAGCTGCATTTGCCACAACGGCTGGGGTACGCTACTTTGATACCAGTGCTCCCCATCAGCCAACCTAACCCCACCTTCAAGCTACTTGGTTTCCCACCACGCCACTGAGTGGTCTTCCTGGCAAGGCCCAAGACTTTCCTGGGCGACCCCTCTCGAAACCTGGCCCTACCCCAACCTGGAAGCGGAGACCAGGACCCCATACCTGTCCTTCAGTCAGGATCCCTGGCTCTGGGCGTTTCCAAGATGAAACCAGGAGGATGTAGAGCACCAGGAGCCCGAAGATCACCACCAGCATCCCAAGGCTGTTGGCAAAGATAGCCTCACTGGGCAGACTGGAATATGGCTGGGTGGCATTGTTCCTGAAGATGACAAAACAGTATGGGCCCTTGAGAGACTTTCCACCTGTTTTTGCCCAACACCATTAGCAGATGGTGAGAAAAGCTTCCAAGGACCATCTATGACCTGGAACGTTAACATACTAAGTCCCTACCACCATGCAAATATCTACAGACTGCTTTCTACCTCTGAGGGAACTGAAGCTCAGAGAGGCAGGTGAGCTTGCCCAGAGTCAGAGAACTAGTAACTAGTTAATGGCATAGCCAAGACTTAAACCCCAGTCTGACCTCGTACCTTATTTGCTTTCACTACCCACCCCCCTGTCTTAAAAGAATGGGGGACGGTAGTGGTTAGGCATGCAGGCTGTAATCTTAACCCAAACCCCAGCTCTGCCGCTTACTGGCTGTGTGCCCTTAGGTAAGTTAGTTAACCTCTCTGTGCCTCAGTTCCCTTATTTGTAAATGGCAATGGCAATGACAACAGTATCTATGTTGTAAAATGATTAAAGGATTAAATTTAAGGTGCTTAGAAGAGTTTCTGACACACAGTAGGTACGAAGTCAGTTTGATGGTAGATAAATGTTTGCTGACCAATTTACCAATCTCAACCTAAAGACTCCAGGACCTTCCAGATCAGGAACAATCCCAACCCCAAAGGCTCCCCTCCCTTGGCTAAGTCCTATGATCACAGGGTACATCTTCTGAAGACCCTATGCCTTCCCCTCCATGTCAGAGTTGGGGGCCCCATCCCACTCACAAACTGAAGAAAAGCTTCTCATTAATGCCGGAAATGACAGACGCGATGGACAGAGAGAGGATGATGACGCCAAAGAAGAGGTGGATGGGTTTAAGGAGGCTGCGCAGCCACACAGATGCCCAGGGCAGCAGGAAGACGGCAAAGCCCAGGAACCACTGTGGACACAGGGAGGAAGGACCTGACTGCCCTGTGCTGGGCCCAGAGGTGCAGCAGGCCATCCTGCCCCACTGGGACTTCCTACCCTGCAATGGTCCCTCACCCTTCTTTCCCAGCTCACACCTCCCACCAGGTGCCACCCCTAGCTTCCGCACTATGGTCGCTTTCTTAGCCAAACCAGAATGTTCCATGAAATGCTTAGCTACAAGCCCAGTCTCCTGAAAGCCCAGCCATCCTTGTAGGTCTCTGCTTCCTTCCAGTCCTGGCCCATGAAACTCCTCACTTGTACGGGGCTGACCTCAGAATGCGGAGACCGCTTTCAGAATTGCTTCTGGTTCAAAGAAAGGTGGGAATGGGGAAGGTGGAAAAGATGACCTAGAGTCGGCGTGGCATGTGCTGTGATCGAGTCAGCTCAGCGTGCTCCAGGACGACAGAGGGGCAGCGTGACAGGTAAGAGAAGGAACAGACGAGTGTGGGAACCGGCAGTCTCCTACGACCATTTAAGCTGCCGACGCTATGGGGTGTGCCCTACGGGGCCGTCTCCAGGCGGTGAGCAGAGGGAGTATGTGGTGTGGGTGCAAGGGAAGCCCCAACCAGAGCCCACGGCCGCCAGCCAGCAGCAGGAACCCAAGCGAGAGCACGCACCTGGCAGGCAAAAAGGAAGACAGTGACAATGCCCAGCCAGCTGTGCAGGGAGTAGAGTTTGGCGACCTTGGAGTGGTGGTGGAACTGAAAGACGGCGACCATCCCCAGCACGGTCAGGATGAAGGCCAGCAGGTGCAGGGCCGCGTGGCCAATCTTCCATGGCAGCTTGGGCCCCACCCAGGACCGCGGCAGGCGGTACACCAGCGAGGCTGCAGAAGAGAACATCCCAGGGCCCGGCCTCTTCCCCTCGTACTCCCCCACACTACTGTGATCGACGTTATCATCGTTTCCATTTTACAAGCGGGGAAATGAGGCTCCCCTGGGCCCCGGAGCCCAGCTCTGAATGCATGGGGCAAAGCTGGGTCTGGCGGGAGTAAGCAGCTTCCTCGTGGAAGGACCTGACTAGGGCATGAGAGGCTTCAATCTCCTGCTCCCTAAAGCAGAAGTTGGCAAACTACAGCTCACGGGCCAAATCCAGCCTGCCACATGTTTTTGTAAGCAAAGTTTTATTGGAACACAGCCACGAACATGTTCTGGGGTTATCTATGGCTACTCACAATACAATAACAGAGATGAGCAGTTGCAACACAGGTCATATGGCCTGTAAAGCCTTTGCCATCTGGCCTTTTACAGACAAAGTCTGTCAATCCCTGCCCTAGAGTATCTGTAAAGCTACCCTCCTCAGACGCCCCCATTCTCACTACTTCTTCCTGCAAATGACACCTGGGCCCAGAGACAGCCCGACCTACCCCACTCCCAGAGCCCCAAACCCAACAGTGACAAAGGCCAGCCCCGGGTAGGCAGAGCTCTGCCCCAGCCAGCTCTGGGTGATGGTATGTCTGCCATGACCGCGTACTCACCAGCACTGTAGAGTACCACTAAGCCCACAACCATGAGCACTGGGTGATAGTTGAACATGAGAATGGTGCCATCCCAGGCAAAGCCACCATGCCATAGCTGCATCCAACAGATGGTGAGGATGATGCACATCAAGCCCAGGAAACACAGTGCGTAGAAGGACAAGTAGAACCATCCCACAGCCATTCTGAGCAGGCGCTCCTGGAAGAAGCAGAAGTCACACGTCCCTGCTGGCTCTGCGGGCTTGAGTGCACCCCACCTACCTGCTACAGGAGTAACACCGAGCTCGCTCTTGCTGGAAGGGTGGACACTCTTCAATTTAGTTCTCCTGCCACCAGCCTGGGCACCGCCCCATGAGACCTGGAGCGCTGGGCAGGCCTGATCCCTGATTGTGGACACTAAGGATGGCCCCACCCCAGTACCTGGCAGCACACAGTGCTGGGGCCGGCTCTGGAGAGGGGCTGGACATCAAGGCTCTCAGCCCAAAGCCCTGGGGTTAGCCTCCCTTCATAGAACCAAAAGGTAAAGAATCCACCCCACCGTACCCCACAAAAAAGGGACAGGAATCCAAATCCAGGCTAGATCACACAAATGCCTAGGCCCTCAGTTCTACCAGAAGGAGGCAAAATTATCATCTGCAAGGAGCCAACACACTATTAGGCCAGCTGAGAGGAAGTCCTATGATCTCCCACTTCTACAGGAAAGTTCTTCGCCAGACGGTGAACTCTGTGTGGCTAATCCTCCCACTGAGGAAGTAAGATCAGACCTTCATTCTGGGGTCCCCACACGCCACACCTTGAATTGGACAGCAGCCCTCAGATGTCTCTAGGCCTGAGACTTCTGCTTTCTCTTCCTCTGAGGAAAGTTCAGAAGAGAAAAGAGGAAGCAAGAACTCATGGTCTAGAAAGCAAGAGTTTATTTTGAGATTTCTCCATGTCCTTGATAAACTCAGAAACCAACTCTGGTTTCAGACAAATGTCTAGGGCCCTGAGCAGCTGGTCTTACAAACCAGGCAGCTGGGCGTGAGGGCTGGCAGGCACACACACAAAGCCACGGGACCACCTCTGCTTTCAGGGAGCGTGTAGGCAGCACGGGCCCAACTCTCAAGGCTGTCACCCTGTCCCGCGGACTCACACCAAGGAGGGGACACTGTGGCATCCTGCAGTTGAGATCCCTCAATCTGAACCAGCTAACAGAGAGAAAAGGAAGTCCCTGAAACAGCCGAGAACTCCCATGGCGATAAAACACTTGATTCCTCACCTTTAGACTTAGTGACAAGCTGACAGAGTGGTGGCCGAGGCTCCAATTCTTATGAAGTGGGGCACCTTGAGCAAATCATTTAGCATTTGTAGGACTCGGTCGTCTCATCTGAAAGAAAGGCATGGTAATAAGAATATACTAAAGAGCAGCTATGAGGAGACACCCGACTAGAACCCATGAACATTATGATCCCATTTGCTCCCATGAGCAGTTATCATCCCCATCTTATAGACGAGGAAACCAAGGCTCAGGAAGATTAAATACCAGCATTAGGACCCAGTAAGTTTCAGGAAGTTTCAAAGCCTTGTCTGTTTGGCTTCAAGGCTCCTGTTTTTTCCTTGACCACAGGTTGTCGAAAGGGCAAGTGAGAAAATGTCCGTAAGGACATTGTGAGAGCAAAGTACTCTCCTTTTCTTGGTGTTGTCACAGCAGTTCATCCTACCTACAAACTACAGCCTGAAGCTCGTGGCCTTCATGGCAGCCCAGGCCTCTCGGTGGCCCTGATACTAGGCCGTACCAATTCTTTCCACGGCTTGTGTCCACCTAACCAGAAACAGACACTGAACTCTCACAATGTGACCCGAGTTGGCAGTAATCACTGAGAAAGGAAGATCCGAGGGGCTGGGGGAAAAACAAGCTTCCGTAAGGCCAGGGGAAAATAATGCCACCATCTTCCTAGAAGTTTCATCACTCAACTACTAAGCTCAGAGATTTGCCACCCAGCCTCAGAGGTGTCCCCATAGGCCCCGGAAGAGCAGAGAAAGTTTCAGGTCACCAGATGTTCAGTCACCCCCCCGGTGAAGTCGGCATGAAGCACTTGGTCAGCAGGCTCCATCCACCAGACAATTATCTTTCATGACTTCCTTTCCCTTTGGAGAAGAAAAAACAAAAGTAAGTATCATCCAAAAGGGCTGTGTCCACCCTTCTCAAAGAGGTCCTGGATTACTGCTCTGGGACAGACTTAAGAGTTCACGATGGGGACACTTTTCTGACAACGGGCTGTGATGTTATACTGCTCACAGTACACAGATGACCCTACCTCTACGCAAAGTGCAGAAGAAAAAAGAAGAATGCAGTGAAATTGCAACCCTAACACCGAGAATATTCTATCATTTATTCCAAGAAAGTAGGTTGTGCTATGATTTCAGGATGTGTTCACCATTGTTGGGTCTTTGATTCCGCCCGCACTTTGTAGAGCCCCATGCTAAGGCAGAAGTCAGCATGCCCTTCCATAAGGGCCGGAATGGAAAATATTTTAGGCTTTGCAGGCCATAGTCTCTCTCCCAACTCTGTCATCAACTCTTCTGATGTAGCGCAAAAGCAGTCATAGACAGTACCTTCACAAACGAACACAGCCATGTTCCCAAAAAACTTTATTTATGGACACTGAAACTTCAGGTTCAGATCATTTGTACAAATCAGAAAATATTATCCTTTTCATTTCTGTTAATCTTTTAAAAATGCAAAAACCATGCAGGCGGTGTGTCTTACTCTATCCACCATGATCTAAGAAATGTACTCTCCAACCTAATACTCTCCTCAGTCCCTTGACAAAAAACGATTCTCCCTGGCTGCAGTAAAAGAGGTCAGGCCCCCGTGTAAGAAATGGGTAAGCTTCCATTCAGCCCTTGATCTTAGGAAAAGGCTCTATTCCAAACTCTTATAATATTACTTTTATAATTTAGAACTACTAATAGATGAAGGAACAGAAAGTCAATTGGTTGCCCGGCTTCCAGGATGAATGGTGGGGATTTTGGAAATCCTGAGAATCAGACTTCAGGTTCAAGTCCTACACTCTTCTCTTACAGATCAAAATCACTGGAACCCAAAGAAGGAAAGCGACTTGGCCACGCTGAGTGGCAGAGCTGGTACAGGAACCCGGGTTCGCTTCCCTCAGCTCCAAGGACTCCTCACGTCCAAACGTGGCTTCTGTAAAGTCAGGGCTCAGGAGTAAGGACCCCTAAGTTCCAGTCGGGAGGTAGACAGGCAAGGCGCTGCTTAGCGCCACAGTGATTACAGACCCGCCCTTCCAGACTGCCCCGGTCGGGCTCAGGTGTCCGGAGAACCGTTCCAGGAACCCGGAGCCCGATCCCCGACTCTTCTGCGGGGACGAAGGGCTGTCGGTCCTAGCTAACCTTCGGTGACAATTAGGGCAGGGGCTCCGCCTGCTGACTGCGACTTCCGAAGCGCTTTCGTGCCTGGACCACCACACCTGTAGGAGGAAGGGCGCGGACCACAGCGTCCATTGCCTACAGGAGAAAGCTGAGGCCGAGTGAAGGGTAGCGACAGCGCGGAGAGGTAGCAGCGGAGCCAGCACTCGAACCCAGATCCCTGAACTCCCCATCCGAGCTTTCTCACCCCCGAACCACAGTGGGTCGCAGGGGTCTCCGAGACCCGCCTCTCGCCACCCGGCGCGGCAGCTACCAGGACTCCAGGCGGATGGAATCACGGACTCTCTGGGAGGCAAGCGACGACGCAGCCCGCACCGCAGCCCCAGGGCCAGTGAACCGAGCCGCCTCCGTCCCTTATAGGCTCACAGCACTTCCGGGCGCGCGCGCGGCCGCCTGGGAAATGAAGTCCGAGGTTGCAGACTCCCAACTCCAGTTCCTGCGCGGGCGTTTCTTTCCCAGGGAGCGCCGCTAACGGCTCGGCCCGGTCCCTCACCCCCAACTCGTGTTCGGGCGGACGCGAAGCCTCTGGCCGGGGACCGGCCCTCCGCAAGGCCGCAGGCAGCGGCTGGGAAGGTCGGCAGCTGGACGCGGCGACGCCGGGAGGGCAGGAGAGGAGCGGGCCCAGGAAAGCGGTGGCCAAATATGGCAGCCGGGCTGGCCGCAGAGCGCGGAGCGAAAGCTGAGGACCGGCGGGTAACACGGTACAGACGGAGCCCGCGTCCGCCATCTACTTCCGGGATTTAAAACCGGTTTCCGGAAGCCAGGGCGGCGTCCCCATGACAACCGACGTTGGGTCTTGGAGGTGAGAGTGCTTGAGGAGTGGGTGAGGTGACCAGAGTCGGAATTTGTGTTGTTACTGTTTCGGGTGGTTTTTTTGGTTTGGGGTTTTTTTTTTTTTTGCCAAGGCAGCCGCATTTTGAGGTGGATTGGGAAGGACTGGGAGGAAAGCTGCCCTGGGACAAAGGGAACGCGGCAGGGAGCGGTGGACAGACCGAAGACGGCTCCGTTACCTCGCGAATCTCTGCCTCCCTAAAGCGGAGGCGACGGGCCTCCTTCCCGTAGAGTTGGCGGCGGGCGGGTCTCTGTCACGGATCCTCACGACAGCCCGCCGCGGTGGCCCGTGAAGTCGTGGTTTAGAGCGCGGGCTTTGGTGTCATCCCCCCGCTGTGAAGCCAGGCTCTGCTCCCCTGCGACCCGGAGGCACGACCTGAACTCTGACCCTGGGTTCTTGCCTGTGTGGCGGGGGGCTCCTTCTTGCCCACCTTGCAGAGTAGTTGCGAGGATTAAAGGAAATTGTCCTGGTCGCCAAGTGGACCATGGTGCTGGTAGTAGGTGGTAGCTGTCCGCTCAGAGAAAGTGCCATCACGCAGCCACTAAGGTGGGACTTCTCCACCAGGTGAGGTGGATGCGGTTCCTTAACCTCTCAGAGCCTCTGTGTGATACGGGCATTATATTCACACAAACGGCTGCTTCTCAAGATGGGTGTAGGATTAAGTAACCTGATGAATATAAAAGGAGCTTGTAAATTGTAAAACATTTTGCAGCTTAATTTAATCTCATCCTCTTAACACCTCAGAGCTTTGGAAATTTGTTTATAGATTTGACCCAGCTGGAGGGGTCACAGGACACCTGCAGAGCAATTTCTGGGCCTTGGAATATATGAAAGTAAAGGCCCAGCCCCCCTTATCTGGTGCCGCTGTGTTGCCACCCCCTTAAACACAGAGCTTTGCAGGAGAGCATCATTTCCTCTGCGCTGCCTGCACCACTTCCCACTTCTGCGCCAACGTCTTTCCCACCAAATACATATCAGCCTGTTACATGAGAGGCAGCTCTGGGCATTGGTTAAAAGCACAGACTCTGGACCCAGGCTGCCTGAATCCCAATCCCAGTTCTGCCACTGCTACTAGCAGTGTGACCTAGGACAAATTATTTTCTCTCTCCAAGCTCAGTTGTCCTATCTGTGTAATGGTAGAGTAATAATAGTGTGTCTTCTACTTCATGGGGTTATTGTGAGAGTTACAGAATTTTAGTGCTTAGAATAGTCCCTGGCAGGGGTGCCTGGCTGGCTCAGTCCGTGGAACATGTGACTTGATATTGGGGATCAGTGTCATGAGTTTGAGCCCCATGTTGGGTGTAGAGATTACTTTAAAAAAAAGAAAAAGGAATAGTCCCTGGCATACTGTAAGTGATTATATAAAGGTTTGCTGCTGCAATTAGTATTAGAATTAGTATTAACTACACGACTACACAGTCACTCTTTGTAGTGCTCCTAGATTCCTTTGAACTCAAAAGTGGAAAGAGCTCTGCGTTGGGGCGCCTGGCTGGCTCAGTTGGAGGAGCATGTGACTCTTGGTCTCAGGGTCATGAGTTCAAGCCCCACGTTGGGTATAGAGATTACTTAAAATGAATAAATTAAAACTTAAAGAAAAAAGAAAGCTCTGCATTTAGAAGTTTCCAGGCATGCAGAAAGTTTGAGGATGAAGGTCCCTAGGAATGACTAGTTGGGTTTTTTGGGAGGTGGTAGTGGTTTTGGTCATTGATGTATCCCAAGCAGCTAGAATGGGGCCTGGCATGTAGTAGGTCCTCAGTAAATATTTACTGTACTAATGAATTTCTAACCACCTCTCTTTCTCTCTCTTTTTTTTTTTTTTTTTCCTTTTTGCCTTGACAGGCCCTTGTCTTAGCGCAAGGAAAACAGCTCCGATTTGAGGAACTAGTGCTTCTCCCTCAGTGGTGGGGAGAGAGCCCAGAGCTGTCTTCTGGGGAACTGTGGAATGTGCCCCTGGGGGGCCCAATAAAGCAGAAGGAAGATGCTCCAGACCAGTAACTATAGCCTGGTGCTCTCCCTGCAGTTCCTGCTGCTGTCCTATGACCTCTTTGTCAATTCCTTCTCGGAGCTACTCCGGATGGCTCCTGTCATCCAGCTGGTGCTCTTCATGTGAGTTCAGTGGGTGGGACTGGACAGCTGAACCCAAACAGTTTGAAAGCCCTGGCGATTGTGATTTAGCATTTTAAAGTTATTAATGGAGAAATTTTAGGGAAAATAAAATTTCATGTATCTTGGGTACTCCACAGACATGTCACAGATCCTGTATTTATATGCTTCTAATAAGGGTCTGGGATCCAGGGAGCAGTCAGAGGGTTATTTTCTCCATCTGTGAGTAGAAGTATTGTCTTACATTGCCATGAAAGAGGATTACAGAATGGTGAGCTCAAAGGGCAGTCATATCTGTTATGTATATGGGATGGAAGCTGTTGGCATTTTTCTTCCACAATGATTTATAGACTCCACAAGGCAAGTTATTAACAGAAAATCAGTCTTCGACACTGTCTTCCTTCATTCAACAAGTGTTCATTGGCCTGCCAGACAGTGTTCTCGGTACAGTAGTAAAGCTGACAATTTCCTGCTCTCACAGGATTTCCACTCAAGTGGAAAAAGACAATGAATACATTTTTTTAAAGATAATTTTGAATAGTAACAAATGTACAGTGGATGGAAAGCGGATGGGGCGGAGAGGGGAGGGCTCCTTGAGGCAGTGGGGTTAAAGGAGGGTTTCAGAAGAGGAGACATTGGAACTGAGATTTGAATGGCCCTAAGACACCGGCCGTGCAAAGATCAAGGGAAAGGTGTTGCCATCTCTCTAGGTGGAAATGTCTGGCAGGCCCAGGTTATGTGACAGGCGGGGCTGGCTTTTTCTGGATATAGGGAAGAAAGCAGCTTCTCCTCCCAAGTGTCTAGAAGGTTAAGAGCACCAGAGCAGGAAAGCTTTGTCTGTCGGCTGCACCTCACTGATGGGGCCAGCAGGGAGTTCGAGACTCATGTCATTTGGGACCCAAAGCCCATGCCACTGTTGGGGGGGGCGTGGTTTCAGGGGCCTAGAGCACAGGGAAGGCCAGACTTCATGGTGTCCCTTAGGACTTAGGGCCAGCTCTTGGGTTGTCCCACAGACCTCCATTTAGTGGTGTTTTGTTTGATGTCTGCAGCATCCAGGATATCGCAATCCTCTTCAACATCATCATCATTTTCCTCATGTTCTTCAACACCTTCGTCTTCCAGGCTGGCTTGGTCAACCTCCTCTTCCACAAGTTCAAAGGGACCATCATCCTCACAGCTGTATACTTCGCCCTCAGCATCTCCCTTCATGTCTGGGTCATGGTAAGAGCGGAGCTCTGAGTTCCTGAATCCTTAAGGGGCTAGAAGTATCTTTTTTCTAGGAATCCAGCCTCAATTTTTTACATCTCACAGAAACCTTGACAGGAAATAGGTGTGTTGGTGGTGAATGAACGTGGTGCCGCCTGGGCTTGGGCAAGTTGCATAAGGCGCTTCTGCCCAACCTTTTGTGTTAAAGAACTGCCTTATCCAAGAGTCAGGGGACACTTCTGGAATATTCTGTTCACCTTTGCCCCAAAACAGTCCTGGTAAAACAGGAAGGTGACTGTGTTTCATCATTAGCTGTTTGGGCAGGTGGGTGTTGGGACAAGGTATTCTTAGACATTGGTGTCCCATGGGAAATGGCCAGGCCAAGAGTGTCTTGGTGCTGCATTTAGAAGTTTCATCTAAAGGTGCTGACACGGCCTCACAGCAGATCCCAGTTTTCATGGTTCAGATTCTCCTGCTTCACGAATTGTTCCATCTCTTTGGGTATTGCCTGTGTTTCTCATACTCATTTTGATGGGACACATTAAAACCTCAGGGTTCTCTAGTCACTTCTCTACTAAAGCCACCTTCTTAGACTGAACCTTCCATTAAGTCGCCCTTGTTATTCCACAGAGAGAAGTAGAGCTCACGGGGAAGAAGTAGCAGTGCCAGAGTCTCTATAGTGCTTCCTGAAGAGGATTGTCTCTGCTCTGGTTCTTGGGGCCAAAATAGGTCCTGGCTTTGTACTTTGTACTATAAAGCTGTTAATCTGATTAAACCCTGAGTGCACTAAGCCTTTATCTGACAGGAACTGAGCCTGAGATCTGCAAGGAAAGACAGTGACCACACTGAACTGAGATAATGTGTATCACTTCTCCTTGGAAAAGGCTATGGAATGGGGGCACCTGGGTGGCTCAGTCATTAGGCGTCTGCCTTCGGCTCAGGTCATGATCCCAGGGTCCTGGGATCAAGCCCCGCATCGGGCTCCCTGCTCCGCGGGAAGCCTGCTTCTCCCTCTCCCACTCCCCCTGCTTGTGTTCCCTCTCTCGCTGTGTCTCTCTCTGTCAAATAAATAAATAAAAATCTTAAAAAAAAAAAAGGCTATGGCATGAAAGGGAATAAATAGCTTAGTTCAAACTTTCTCCTTCAGGGTTAAAAGGATAGTTCCTTTGTACAGAAAAGGGAGTTTGAAGCTCCTTTGAAAAACTCCTTGGGGTTGTGGGAAGAAAGAAGGAGGGTGAGATTAGCCTAATTTGAAACCAAGCGGCATTTCTGCAGCTAACCAAGTTGGAGATTCTAGGGCCTCATCTGGTCACTAACCTTCCCCTGTCTACTCATGTCTCCTTCAGAACTTACGCTGGAAGAACTCCAACCGCTTTGTCTGGACAGATGGACTTCAAACGCTGTTTGTATTCCAGAGACTAGGTAAGGACCAGAGCAACCTCAGGCCTCCCTTCGGTGGCACCCATGGCTCAGGCAACTAAGGGCCGCGATCCTGGCTTTCCCAGTCCATCACTGCCAGCATGGGACGAGTAGAACAGCCATGACAAGAACAGGAGGGATGATGGCCAGCTGCCCTTGCAAGGGAGTCCCTGGGAAATCATGAGGCAGGGCCCCTCCGCCTTGTTAGGTTGTGTTCTTTTTTTTTTTTTTAAGATTTTTTATTTATTTATTTGACAGAGAGAGACACAGCGAGAGAGGGAGCACAAGCAGGGGGAGTGGGAGAGGGAGAAGCAGGCTTCCTGTAGAGCAGGGAACCCGATGCAGGGCTTGATCCCAGGACCCTGGGATCACGACCTGAGCTGAAGGCAGATGCTTAACGACTGAGCCACGCAGGCGCCCCGTTAGGTTGTGTTCTTAGCCTGAAACGGATATTCAGGAGCATCCCTGACACTTCTTTCCTGCATACTGCCCACAGCAGCGGTGTTTTACTGCTACTTCTACAAACGGACAGCTGTGAGACTGGGCGATCCTCGCTTCTACCATGACTCGTTATGGCTGCGCAAGGAGTTCACACAAGTCCAAAGGTGACCACTTCTTGTCACACTGATGGATGGATGCCTTTCCTTCCTGACAGAGGCTATGTTTGTGGCTCTGTGGGGTGGGCGTCGGCCCTATGCATAGGAAGCACCTTGACTTTCCTAGGACAGTCTCAGGCCACTTGTGTTCAGCAGTCAAGAAGGAGGATCTTCCCTCTTGCAAATTAAAGTGTTTCCCAATACAGGCTTCAGTACATAACCCTCCCCAGCCTCCACCTCGGTTCTGCCCCTTTTCCTTTCCTGCTCTCTGTCCTTCTTCTCACACAAGGCTGTGCGGCTTGATCCTTGGGAAGCTGTCACTTAGCCTGGTACAGGAGGGGCTCCTGGCACCTGCTTTCTTTGCACCAAACATAATTAATGGATGCAAAGAGTGACATTTCTGAGCTCCTGACTGATCACACTGTAGACATTTAGATTTTATACCCAAGGTGGGTGTTTTTTACATTTTATAAATAGGAAATAAATTGAATTCTTTTTCTGTAAGTGGTAGAGTCTGTTTGTGTAGCTAGATCTCTTCGCAGATAAGAGGCATATCAAGTCCTGGCCTTGGCATTTACTTGACCCAGTGGGCAGCTTGAGCCACAGAACAAATAAAGATATTTATTGAGTGCCGTTATGAGTACGAGCTATTTTTGTAGAAATTCAAGATGCAATCTGATGCCCCACCCCAACCCTTGGAATTCCAGACTGCTTTTTTTTTTTTTTTTTTTTTTTAGGGTTTTATTTATTTATTTATTTTAGCTGAGAGAGAGAGAGAACATGTGTGCATGTGTGCATGTGCGCCTGGGGACAGGTGGGCAGGGGAGGAGTAGAGGGAGGACAATCAAACTCCGCGCTGAGCAGGTAGCCCAACGTGGGGCTCGATCTCATGACCCTGAGATCATGACCTGAGCCGAAGCCAAGAGTTGGACGCTTAACCAACTGAGCCGCCCATATGCACCTGGACTTCCATGCTTTATTCAGCACAGAGCCCTTAACTGCCCTCAGAAGAATAAAAATGTTCCTTAGCCTGTTTTGGCAAAAGAAATTTTTAAAATTCATATGCCCATGGTATCAGCTTTCTTTTGCTAGAATAATGTGTAATAGACCACCACCAAACTTCAGTGGCAGGTACCAATAAATAGTTACATGGCTTTTGAGCCTTGGGGTTCATCTGATTGGGCTGGTTCAGGTGATTTCTGCTGGGCTTGCTCATGTGTCTGTGGTCATCTGTGGGTCAGCCAGGCAGCTGTGATGATCTTGGGATTTGGGGCTTTTGGCTAACCTAGGCTGGTCTCAGCTGGACTGACTGGGCTGTCCTGGTTCTCCTGAGTCATCGTCCAGAGGACTAGCCTGGGTCTGTTCACATGACAGTGGTAGAGGAGCAGAAGAATGAGCTCCATTGTGCAATCTTAACTTCAAGCCTTTACTTGTATTGTGTCTCTTGGACTCCCATTGGTCAAAGCAAGTCATATGACTGAGCCCAGAGCCCAGGTGGGAAAGCACTACAAAGTGTCCTGGTAAAAGGCGCAGATAGACGGAGGGCCATTAATTCAGTCTAACCATGTCAGAAAGTTGCTCTGTAAAACTCATCATTCAGAGGCATTTTAGCACAGGGGTTGGCAAACTTTTTCTATGAAGCTCCAGATAGTAAATATTTTAGATTTTGAGGGCCATATGGTCTTTGTTGCAACATAAGCATACCTTGCTTTATTGCGCTTCACAGGTACCGTGTTTCTTACAGATAGACGGTTTGTGGCAAATTCATGTTAAGCGAGTCTGTCGGCACCATTTTTTTCAACAGCATTTGTTCGCTTCATGTCTGTGTGTCACATTTTGGTAATTCCCGCAACATTTCAGACTTTTTCATTGTGATTATATGTGTTATGGTGCTCTGTGATCAGCGATCTTTGATGTTGCTATTGTAATTATCGGGGGCACAATGAAGCGCACCCATGTTAGTTAGCAAGTTTAGGCTATAGATGTTCGGCGTGTTGTTGTGATTCCACCGACTGGCTGTCCCCCGTCTCTCTTCCTCTCCTCTGGCCTCCCTCTTCCCTGAGACACAACAGTATTGAACTTAGGCCAGTGAATAACCCTACCATGGTCTCTGAATATTCAAGTGAAAGGAAGAGTTGCATGTCTCTCACTTAAAATCAAAAGCTGGAATGACTAAGCTTACTGAGGAACACATGTCAAAAGCCAAGATGGGCTGAAAGCTAGGCCCCTTGGGCCAAACAGTCAAGTTGTGAATGCAAAGGAAAAAAAATTAGAAGCGCTGCTCTGGCATTCACGCAAACAAAGTAAAGCAGCCTTGTTGCTGATATGGAGAAAGTTTGAATAGAAGATCAAACCAGCCTCAACGTTCCTATAAGCCCAAGCCTAACCCATAGCAAGGCCCAAACTCTTCAGTTCTGTGAAGGCTGAGAGGGGTGAGCAAGCTGCCCAAGAAAAGTCCGAAACTAGTGGAGGCTGGTTCATGAGGTTTAAGAAAAGCCATCTCCATAACATACAAGTGCACAGTGCAGCAGCTGCAGCAAAAAGATTAGGACTGGGGACACTTGGGGGGCTCAGTTGGTTGAGCGACTGCCTTCAGCTCAGGTCATGATCCTGGGGTCCTGGGATCGAGCCCCACATCGGGCTCCTTGCTCAGTGGGGAGCCTGCTTCTCCCTCTGCCTGCCACTCCCCCTGCTTGTGCTCTTTCTCTCTGACAAATAAATAAAATCTTAAAACAAAAGTTACAACTCACTGAAAGCTCAGATGATGGTTAGCATTTTTTAGCAATTATTTTTTATTTTTTATTTCATTTTATTTTTTTAAGGATTTATTTTTTTAGAGGGAAAGAGAGGAGGGGGAATGGGCAGAGGGAGAGGGGGAGAGAGGATCTCAAGTCAACTCCCCACTGAGTGTGGAGCCCGACACAACACAGGACTGGATCCCACCACCCTGAGATCATGACCTGAGCCGAAACCAAGAGTCAGACACTCAGCCAACTGAGCCACCCAGGCACCCCAGCAATTATTTTTAATTAGATATATATATAGGTATATGTGTAGGGTTTTTTTTGTTGTTGTTGTTTTTTAAAGATTTTATTTATTTATTCATGAGAGACAGAGACAGAGAGAGAGAGGCAGAGGGAGAAGCAGGCTCCCAAGGAGCAGGGAGCCCGATGTGGGACTCGATCCCAGGACGCTGGGATCATGACCTGAGCCGAAGGCAGACGCTTAACCATCTGAGCCACCCAGGCGCCCGGTATATGTGTAGGGGTTTTTTTAGCCATAAAGCTAGTGAACACTTAATGGACTATAGTATGGTGTAAACACGACTTTCATGTACACTAGGAAACCAGAAAATTCATTTGACTCGCTTTATTGTGGTATTTCTTTACTGTGGTATTCTGGAACCAAACCTGCCATATCTCAGGCGTGCCTGTGGTCCACTTCGGCATCATAGTGTGAAAGCAGCCAGAGGGGCGCCTGGGTGGCTCAGTCGTTAAGCGTCTGCCTTCGGCTCAGGTCATGGTCCCAGGGTCCTGGGATCGAGCCCCGCATCGGGCTCCCTGCTCCGTGGGAAGCCTGCTTCTCCCTCTCCCACTCCCCCTGCTTGTGTTCCCTGCTTGTATTCCCTCTCTTGCTGTGTCTCTCTCTGTCAAATAAATAAATAAAATCTTTAAAAAAAAAAAAAAAGAAAGCAGCCAGAGATGATACGTCAATGAATGGATGCAGCTGTGTTCTAATCAAACTATTTAAGGACACAAATTTGAATTTCATATCATATTCATGTGTCACACAATATTTTTCTTTAGACTTTTTTCAACTATGTAAAAATGTAAAGCTATTCTTAGCTAAAGAGCTGTGCAAAACAGGCTAGATTTGCCCCAGGCCATAGTATACTGAGCCCTGGTTTAGAGGCCTAGAATAAAGTTCTGGAGAAAGAGAGACTATATAGTTAATCAGCTGTGCTGTCAAGATTTTAACAGTTATTAAAAAAGAAAAGGTACAGTGTTCAATAAACTGTGTAAGGCCCCATATCCTATAATTGGAACAAGTGATCTAAAAAGACCTAACAGGGGCGCCCGGGTGGCTCAGTCGGTTGGGCGGCTGCCTTCGGCTCAGGTCATGATCCTGGAGTCCCTGGATCGAGTCCCGCATCGGGCTCCCTGCTCCACAGGAAGACTGCTTCTCCCTCTGACCCCCCTGCCCATGTGCTTTCTCTCTCTCTCTCATTCTGTCTCAAATAAATAAATAAAATCTTTAAAAAAAAATAAAAAATAAAAAGACCTAACAAAGCAACCATCATCTATACTTACTATACCCTCATCTATAAAAAAAAAAATAGCCCAATTTTGAACTTTTCACAAAAGCTTATATAGGAATATTATATTCCCCTTTGCTCACAACAGTGCAGTTTTTTTGTGCCCCGGAATGAATCTGGCCTAGATTGTTCTCTATAGTGTTTGCAGCTAGTGAGTACAACCAAATGCCTGTTTCCTTAAAATATTTGTGGCACTTTGGGGCCCTGTGAGTTCTGGGATGTGTGTGTGTGTATGTGTGTGTGTGTGTATGTGTATTTACTTTCTTTAATAGTTAATATATTCATGTGATACAAAATTCAAGTTATTAAAAGGTTTATGCGATTAATTTTCTTCCTGCTATATCTCAGCCACTGAGTTCCTTCTCTGTGCCCTCCCTGACAATCTACATTTACCTGTATACTTCTTACAGATAATATAACATTTCAGAAACATTTTTACCAAAAACAGACATACAGTTTGCCACCATCCTCTCCCAGTTGTTTATGTCAAACCTTTGACAATATGTGTATATATTTTATATGCAGCCGTGAATATGGGGAATATGCCATAAAACAGTTTGCTTTTTCCCCCACTTAGCAGTAGGAATGTGTATTTATTTATTTATTTATTTTTCTTTTTAAAGATTTTATTTATTTATTTGACAGAGAGAGAGAGAGAGAGAGCGAGAGAGGGAACACAAGCAGGGGGAGTGGGAGAGAGAGAAGCAGGCTTCCCACCAAGCAGGGAGCCAGATGTAGGGCTCGATCCCAGGACCCCAGGATCATGACCTGAGCCGAAGGCAGATGCTTAACAACTGAGGCACTCAGGCGCCCCAAGGAATGTGTATTTAAGATGAGATGTTAAATTAACTCCCTGGGGACAGTGAGCGAAAAGCAAAGCATTTCACAAATGCTTAGAGACTTTTAGTAGGATAGAGTTGCTCCTGGCTGACCAGTGCTCCAGTTAGTAACTAGAAAAAACAGATAAAATGCCTTGGGCTCAGTTCATGATCCCAGGGGCCTTTCTTTTTTTTTTTTTTTTTAAGATTTTATTTATTTATTTGAGAGAGAGAGAGTGAGAGAGCACAAGAGGGGGGAGCGGGAGAGGGAGAAGCAGACTCCCCGCTGAGCAGGGAGCCCGATGTGGGACTCGATCCCGGGACTCCAGGATCATGACCTGAGCCGAAGGCAGTCGCTTAACCAACTGAGCCACCCAGGCGCCCCCCAGGGGCCTTTCTTAAGGGCCTCAGAGAATTACTGAAGGAAAGAGGATTGGGGGACCTAAAATTCTAAAGTAGGGAGATTCATAGAGAAGTGAGCTGACAATCTGCAGCAGATTTTTG